AAAAAAAAAAAGAAAGTGAAGTGTCAACTGCTAGGACTTTTAGTTCATAAATAGGTAATATGATTCATCCAAGTGCATGATTCTAAACCTCCACTAGTAGTAATAATGTGAATGATTAAATACTTCATAAAGTAAAATACTTAGCATGAGAATGGATGGGGACATAAATGGTTGTTTTTTGATCTAATAGCTGAGTTTGTTTATTAAATTAGTCGCGTCGAACTTATTCGCAGATTTTTTGTTTTGAAAAAAAAAAACAAGATGAACCTATTCGCACGCAGATTATCTAAGCTGGGTTTAGGTTCATTTAATGAGTCAAATCGAGTTGAGCCTTTCCGCGTTGAACGAGCAGAGCTTATTTATTGAAAGAGCACTAGCTCGAATATGAGCTATTCGACTCGGCTCGCCTCCTTCAACAGAAAGGAGTATGGCTGCAAACGAGTCGAGCATTGGCCTTATCAAGCAGGATTGAGTTTTTTTTTAGCTGCTCGAGCTTGAGCTCGACTCGAAATCAAAATGCTTGAGCTCGGCTTGAGTTCGACTCGAAAATATTTAAGATGAAAGGTAAAATTACCATTAAGCACCTATGCTAATATATATAATAAGTAGTATTTTAGTAATTTAACGTGTATCTCGAGTCGCTCAACAAGGCGAAATATGGGCTCGAGCTCGACTCGAGTTCGATCAAACTCAAGCTCGAGTAGAGGTTTGACTCGAGCGCTCACGAGCCGTTCGGTTCGTTTGCAGCCCTAGAAAGGAGTATCACACCGTCCGCTATGTTTATGAACATGGTTCTACAAACCTATAAACTTATAGTGTTTAATAATTAGCAAAAAGACGATCTCAAAAATTGGCGTATTTATATTTTTGGAAAGTCATTCAGGGATGTAAACAAGATTGGCCAACAATTTCACAATCAATTACTATGACTTTTGTTTAAGTTAGTGTGGCCGTCGAGTTAAGTATGATTTAGGTTTTAAGAATTGTCCATTAAATTAATTTGATTGTAGTTATTAAATAAGTTTATGCATGTGTGCGTGTGCATGTGAACATTAGTGTTAAAGAATTTAAAATCAACTATATAAGCTTATATGCACATGATTAAAAAAAAAATACAATAAAAACGACAAAACAACTATATTGTTTGAATAACTATAATTGATATTGGTCGGTCCCACGATTGTAATTTGCTTCGAAATGTACTACAAAATTAAATAAATAAATAAATAAATAAATAAAAAAGTGTGGTAAAGGTGAAAAGACTTGCCAAAAATAAATGCCTTAAAATCACATTCTTTTGATTTTGAAAGCATGTATTAGACTTTCATATTAAGCCGAGTTAATTGAGCATTTAAGGAATATTGGGCCTCTGTTTGTTAGTTTTTCCGTTGTCAAATTGAAATACTCCAGGCCCAGTAACTAACTGCTAACAACCCTACCGTTCTATTCATGTCCTTTTGTGATGAACTATAAAAAAAACAGGGAAATCCTACATTCTCTTGCTCAACTATTTCGTCGGGATTTTTAACTATTAGATCATCATATAACCAGATAGTTAATCTAACAGTTACAAACCTTGACGAAATGATTCCGTAAGTAACGGAACCGTAGAATCTCTCAGAAAACACAATGCAATCTAAAAATTAATAAAAAATAAAGTAAAAAAGAAAAAAATTATAACAATAAAATTTATTATATTTAAAATTATATGTATAAATAGAAACGTAAATCAAATAAAGGAAATGACTACAGTTAATATAAATACTAAAGAACATTAAACGGAAAAAGGGGAGAAGAAAGAACAAGATTATACTCCACCGCCTCCACCGCTTCGCCACCTCCATCTCCGATCGGCAGCCGGACATCCTCCTCCGGTGAGTCGAACACGGTGCCTCGTTCTGTGCTTCAAATGGGTAAGCTTCTATTTCCCAATCGTACAAACCCTAATCGCTCAAAATGAATAAATCTAGAAGCTAAATGACTGAAAAGGCTCTTATTCATTGCTGTTCGACTACGAATTTGGTGTTCACAGGCCGAGGATTGTGTGTGTGCGCGTCTATGTGTGTGTATGTTTTGTTGGGTTCTTTGATATCTCGTAATGGTTATTTGCTTTGGTGAAATCATCATGAATTGTACGATAGCTGATAGAAATTTTTGTTTATTTTTTCCAAGTTTTCACTAATATTATCATTAGGGGGTTGATTAATCAGCTCTTAATGAACCTTAGTTCTAGTACTTGCAGATTGTATTAAATTATAATTACAAATATTAACCTTGAGTTTTGATCTAGTTAATGAAAAGGGCAGATGATTGTAGTATTTTTTGAGACACACACCGGGTTTTTTGATTCATCAGTAAAGTTAAAGGGCTAATTGCAACATTTCTTTAGAAATGAGCATCGTTTTGCAATTTCCGATGTTACCTGGGTTTTACTATGATTTGGTCGATCTCAATCTCAAGGTGTACTTTCTTTGATCAACTCTGAATTAAATACCATCACTTTGCTTCTAAATGATCTGTTTATATTCACAGACATGTTATAGTTGATTTTTTCAATCCAAATGGAATCTCAAATGCATAAAAGATTTTCCCCGACTCCTCCTAGATGGAGAAAAGTCGCGTATGGCGGCATGCAACCTGGATTTGACGATAACTACACAGACGAGTCCTTTCTAGAAGACATGATTATGAATGCAAATGTCGTGAAAAGGGATTTAGTGAAGGTGATACTCGACTCGATTTCCATCTCACAATATCTATGCATAGTAGCCCTTGTGGTTTTGGTCTGGACCTATACCCTTAGATCCGTAATTACGGAAAGGTCCCTTATCTTTCTCAATATCGCCCTTTTAGTAGTCGGGTTCTTTCTCGTCGTTCTTTTAACTGCTGAAACACTCTCGTTCGATTTCCTGCTCGATTTTTTCCTCAAAGCTTCGTTTTTTATAGCCGGGTTGTACGTTTTGTCCCCAGTTTACCAAACTCTGACTCGTTCGATAAGCTCGGATTCTATTTGGGCACTAACGGCTTCGCTCATCATTCTCCATCTGTTTCTGCACAATTATGGGGATCTTGAATACTCGAACTTCATGAACAATATTTCACTGAGTGCTTCTATAGTTGCCTCGCTTCTGATTGCTTCGAGACTTCCTTCATGGCTGCACGTTTTCGGTATTTTGCTTTTCTCTTTGCAGGTATTTTTGTTTGCTCCGTATGTTGGGTACTGTATCAAGAAATGGTCTTTTCGTGTGCATTTCTGTTTCTCGTTGGGGTTAATGGCTGTGACGTTGTTTCTCGTTTATCGTTTGCACCTGTTGCTTTTCGTTGTTTTGGTGGGGATATTGGTGTTTGTTAATTTGGTGTGCCCTTATTGGTTGATTAGGATTCAAGAGTATAAGTTTGAGATCAATGGGCCATGGGATGAAGCTAAGCTCTGTTTTGATGTTGTGGAGTGAAAACTGTTGTTTTTCTTGTACATTTCTAGAGTTTCTT